TTTGCACGAGTTGGATTTTGTAAGCCCGAAAACAAAATTTTCATAAAGTGGATAGGCACAGTTCCTATTGTAGCGCGCGTTGGCGGAGGGATTCATGCAGGTCTTCCTCGATACTCTGCTCCACAGCAGAAATAGCGTCTTCATAGCGGACTGTACGGCATCTCTGAGGACGCGTATGATCTACTTGAGTAAACGTGGTGCGAAACCGATCCATGATTGCACGAATTACTTGCTCGGCGATTATATCGGTCGAATATTGAGCTCAGCCGCGATGCGTCACGCGAACCAAACCATTTGCACGATTTGCAAAAGTTATCAAGTAGTAAGTCTATTCATTGCGATATGGCAAAACAAACTGAGTATAAATCTAATAACAGCTGTCAAAAAGATCAACTCTGAAAATAGTATTGCCTTACTGAAAATCACACGTCAAAGAAACACCCGTTATATCGACTACCTGGAGAGGGACACAGAGGGTTAAAGTGTGCTATAATATATTTTAAATAAAAAATTTCAAATAATTATTATGAGCAATTTTACGGCACAACGTCACCACTGTGCGCTGACCACAATGAGCTGCCATAGCTCGTCATTTGACTTTTGATTCATTTCAAGTACAACAGCTGTGTTAAAAATGGGATAAATGCGCGAATAAAAGCCACAGTTGAACAAAAATGCTACGGCAAGCGGAAATTTCACATAAATAACACTGGTCATACAAATAGCGTTCTTACATTCTTTGTAAGCGCCAGCACCAACTTATGCTTACACAACACCTGCAATTGCTTTGCTGCTCCTGCGACTTTTGTTTGCGCGCGAAATGAAAAACTACAAAAGGAAATGACAAAGGCCAAACACCTCCACTGGCGGCGGATGGGTGGGCGGACGGGTGGTTCCCTGTGGTGCGCAAGGGGTCGGCGCTGGGAGAATAGCAAACTAAAGGTGTGCAATGGCAGCATGCCAGCGCTGCACTTGATAAGCTACGAAAACTCGTTAACTTAAATTGACATAATAATGACAGCAGCCAAATGGACACAGTGCCAAACTACAAAAACAACAACACGTTGACTGGCACTAAAGCGCACAAGCCAAAGCGGTAAATGAACAAAGGACTAAAAATGCGATAACAAATGCAATTCATTGCTTACCAATCTGGCCATTTTAGCTTATTGCTTTTGTTGTGTAAGAATGCTTTTTCATTAAACATCTCTTGCTCTTCTATCACTTGCTTTTTTACTTACTCGCCTCCCTTACAAATCCAATACAAATTATGTATGCAGATACTCTGCTGCTCTACTGCATTTTATTTAAATTACATTACTTTTATTTGCTTTTGAAATTTGATGATGAAAAATGTGCCGTTATTTCCTTCCTGTATGCTTTGCTGGTATTGCCGTTATTCTCGTCATAAAATACGACAAACGGAAGCACAGGCTCTCAGGCACAACGAAACAAATGTGATGTAAGAGCATATTATTATTCTAATAGGGTGCACACTGAGGAATCTCATTAGTAACGGTAGGTAATGTTTTATAAAATTCTTTGTTGGAATAAGAAGCAAGGTAAAAATGAACAAAAATCAAGCCCAAAGGTATTAAGGATCAAAGAAAAGAAATTTTATTAAGATGAAATATTTCTAAATACATATTTTTGTACTCTCGCTATATGATGTTAAAGAGTATAATAGTTTGGTTCATCTAACGGTTGTTTGTATCACCTAAAACTATTCGAAATAAACCATTGAGATCTCGTCCCGAAACTTTGTACACGCGGTTTTTAAGGGGCACCTGTGGGCTGAAAATATTTAAAATGTGGGCCTCGCCGCGCCCTCTAATAGGTTTAATGCATATATGTATCTAAAAAAACTTTATACCATATAACGGCTATGTTGAGAACTACTAAATGAACGACAACTCATTAAATAAATACGCCGGAAGCAATTAATTTCACCAACTATATGGCATCATAAAGTTTCTTTGGAAAAAATTTGACAATCGGCGTTGCACCGCCCACCTAAAGGCGAAACTCCATACCTATGGACTTACTAGACTAACTTCATTTAAATTCATTACATTAAACTCCCCTGACATTTGTATATTACATCGTGAGATTAAACGAAGTCTATCGGGAAAAAAACTACGCCTACTTCCCATATAACACCATTATAAGTTCCATCTGATTCTTTCACTTTTAAGTACCCAAATCAAGCTACATTGAATAAATCGGTGTACAATTTTCCACATAATCGAACTATAACTGTTCAAGCACCTTCTGACTAACATCTTAACAAAAATATCGGTCAATCTGTGAGATATATTATTGAAATTCAGAACACACTTTCTTCTGATAACAGTTTACTTGTACATATATCAAAATTTGAATTTGAATTTGGTGAACTTGATGATTATACCTAATATTAAAACTTTTGAACTACCGGTTGACTTTACATCACATATATCGGTCAATATGTAAGTAATCTTAATGCAATTAAGAGAGCTTATTTTTTAAAACCTTACCTTACAATATAATTATCATCAGTATTTTTAAACATCCCGTTGACTTTACTCATTATATATTGGTGATGGTACGTGAGCTATGTACTTTAATGAAACTCAGATAACATCATTTTGTGTTAATAATACGGCTAAAAAAGGTAAAAACGGGTCAATACTGCCGCTGTCTCCCATATACCTAATGAACGATTTTTAAACTTCCGGTTGTCTTTATACGAGTATACATTGTCGATATTAGAGATATCATAGCAAAATTAAATAAACGTATAATAGCGGATATACTATAGTTTAATGCCGAAATATGGAAATTTAGTCGACGAAGTGGGAGTGAGGTAATCCCATATACCACATGTGTCACATATAACGGTTTTCTTTATTCTAACAAGGCTTATAACGAATATTTCGTTCAGTGTGAGAGTTATATATTTTCTATAAATATTATAAAAATTAGTACAATCATATACCCTGTGTAGTGATTTTCAACTTTCCAGCTGACTTTAAACCGTTTAGGTTTGTAAAAATGTGTGATATTTTAATTACACTATATATATGTTAGAACCTGAAGCAGTTTAAGGATCCATTGAATTCTAATATTAACAACAGCTACCTGAATTGATTAAATTGGGATATATCACCTTTTTCAGTTATTTTTTTACCATGATTTTAAGGCAATTAAAAATAACCAAGAAAAATTAATTTACTAAGAAACTCACATTCTCTCACTCCTATATACTAGATACAAATATTAAATACAAATGTACATAAGTAATTCTTATCAATATATCTTAAAATGTGGAAACAATTTGAATACGTTTCTATGTATAAACAAATAATTTTAGTGCACAATATATCAAATGAACTCGAATCCGTTGCACCGTCAACTTCATATGAGCTAAGTTTTCCATAACGTTTTACAAAAAAATCAAACACATTTTAATAATTTCGGATTACGCGCGCAGTTTAAATGGCTCAGTCCAAATAAAATTTACCAGTGCCTAATTATTAACTGAGCTTTCATAATGTGAGACAGAATTTGAACCGAACTATTGTATATAGAAATCAAACAAGATTTTTTGTGTTGTTCTGGAATGAACCATTTCTTAATATGGTTAATTTAGAAATAAAAGGTGTGACATCCTCACCACCCATGAGATGAAATGGACGACCCAAGTTAAAAATTTGGATTTTGTACCTAACCTACAGCAACTATGTTGTTTAAAAAGATAGTGAGATAGTACTAAATCCCGCTGTGCTGAATTACTCTATTGTCCAAATTTTCATAATGTTGCAAGCAAACAACATTTTTCTGTCTCTAGACCACGCCATGACTGAACAAAACGATTTTAAGACAAAGATTTACTCTTTGAATGCTTCAAACACAATGATAAGCTTTGTCCGTAAGTTAGGCTTAGATACAAAGGAGACTCGTCTTAAAACATATCCTCTAAACTTCACCTCATAGTTACAGCTTCCGTAGAAAACTCCAAACTCAAGAAGATATGTACATCAAGATACATGTTTATTATCAGAAGTATGTACACGTTCACAATAGTAAATTTGAAAATGATGTGTTAGTATACAGACAACCCCGACATTGTTTTGAAAATACCCTGGACTCGACCAGAGAAATCTATATTGGTCATAGAGGACAGCAAAAAAATATATAAGCTCAAATTTATATATAAAAAATAAAAATATTCAAATCCATTAGCTAATGCCTTGCTACATTCCTGTAATTAAACTCGCTTAAAAAGAACAGAAACTTTTCAACCCATATTTCAAAACTTCATCCTTCGTTGAACCAAAAAAGTGCTTTATAGCAATTCTTAGAAAGTAATTATCGATTCCTATTGATGCGCAAGAATTTTATATATATATAATATAACAACACCTTCAACTCCTGAGGACATTCCCAGGCGATCAACAAGGAAGCAAGTGCGTAAATATCAACACAGCTAACGGTAGATATTCAATATGCATATAATATGTAAAGCAATCACTTGCATAAATTAAAATGTCAATTGCACAGCCAGGACGTCGTTTACTTATATGAACTTGTGGAACGGCAAGCAAAAGGTAGAGGCAAGCGTAAAAAATGAAGGAAAGTAATCAAAAGCAGAAATATGTATATTTTAAGCAAGAAATGAACAACGCCTTTCACAAACACGCTGCCTTTCACGTGATATACACACACATATGTACGCATCCAGCCGCACTTTGCTGTCATCCATCATAATCAAGAGAAGGCCAAGAAATTTGAATTCTTTCCCCTTATTTGTTTACTCAGTTTTCAAGCACAAAAGCAGCATATGTTCAAAAGTTGGCTTGAGTAAAAACAGGATATTTTTAAAACTTTCAGAGAGGTTTTCATGCGTGCAGTTATTTATATTATACGTGGGTATGTAATATTATATAAGTATATATACAAGTATGTAGTGTCTACATCCAAGTGTTCTTATGATCATATACATATGTTTCAAGACTCCCCTACTCTGCCTCTATGTGCACACTGGCCGCTAGTAACGTTGCCAATTTATTGCCTGCTTGGCGTCGCACCAAGAAATACGAATATTCTCCATTATATTGCTTCCGTTCTTTTTGTTCCTGTGTTCTAATAATAATTACAGACAATAATTTGTTATGTTATTGTTTACAATTATTGCCACCATTCAACACATCAGAGAAACAAGCGCAGCAGTTGTTAGGAACAAAATTAAAAGAAATCTTTACAAAGCAAAATTTAGATGAGTACAGTAGTGTGTAAGAAAAAAGCAACTTTGAAGAAGAAAATTTAAAATTTTTCTTTCGAAATCGTAAAAAAACTACCCTTTAGCGTAGCATCTCGATAAAGATCAAAAATATATCAGTAACTTACTGATTAATGGCAGTGAGAAAATTAAAGTTTTCCATTTGAATGCATTTAACTCTCAATATGTGTATGAGAAGTTCTCCTGACGGGTGAGAAAAAGCAGTACTTGAAGCAACTTTCCTACTCAGAAAGGGCTCTTATATTGCATGATCTGGGAAGTTTAAAAAAATTGAAGGCTTACGATTATTCTTACCACAGTTTTGATCTAAACTACAGTTTCACCTTTAACTGAAATATTTCTGCAATTAATTAACTTTACATACTGCTAATGACGAAATTGTTAACCTATTTGTGATGACAGTCTGTCTTATTCATTCCTTAACTGACCTGTCTGTGGTAGTTATGCTTCGTTATGGTTTCCAAGAAAAGATTTGTTACTATCGATAAAGTGACGCTCCTGAAGAATCTTCTACAATTCTGTCTAGTTTAGTCACAATTTATGTCAATTTAATTTCTGCGTAGAGCTCGATTGAATAGAAGCATACATAATCTCTACTAATGGCTTTCAAAACTTTTAACCCAATATAATAAGCATATTTTTTGAAATAGGTCTCTTTCGAGACTCATCTTTGGTTATAAAATTTTTACGCTTTACTCTAGTTTTCGACTAGTAGCCTTTCATAGGCATCAACAATAATATCAGCTTCGAAATGACTGCATTCAATAATTTTGAAAGCAAAAAAAATCAAAATAGGTTTTATCCCATAAATTGAAAAAAGAAGATAAATAACAAAAAATTAAATAACAAATAATTAACGGGCGATCTAAGGGAAGGCGTGATTCAATTTTTACGGGGAAACGGCTTATCTCGATTTTCGGCGAAACTACGAATCCAGTGGGCAAAAGTTAAGTGGAAATGTTGGTAGTAAATAAAGATTTCGTGTTAACATTTTTTAACATAAGCTCAAAATTTTTGGGAAAAAATTTAAATAACCAAGTTTCTTATTTTTAACTTCTGCAAAAAAAATTTTACTTGCACGAAATTCAGGTGATGGTTTGGGATATGACTTTGTTTTTACCATTTCAAAAGGCCTAACATAGATAACTTCTCTAATTTGAAAATAATATCTGAATTAGATTAAGCTCCGTTCCTCTTCTAAATATATAATAACGCAAATAAAATATGAAATATTTCTTCAAGAATTCGTATGAATTCAGCACGTTAAACGAAATCTTCAAATAAAATAGCACAGAAATTCCAATATTGGAGTTTAGCATAACAAGTCTACATAAAATATTATGCCTTATTTCGTACAACTGTTAAAACTATCGGGTACAATTTTGTAAAACGTCGATTTTTCAATATTATAGCTTGACACACACTATAAATACCGGATTGTTATGTTCTTCTTGAAATTTGCCCCAATATTTACCATTGAAAACCGTGAAAGTCTTTTCCTATCCTTATACCTATGTACATTTGGCGGAGCAGAACTTCTATAATATAAAAGCAAATGATTCCGAGCGGTTAATAAATTTTTGGGAGCTCAAGCTAAAATTACTTGAGCTTCAGCTAAAGAGCCTTTAAATGACGCATTCAAGTCAGCCGACTATAACTACGCGAAAAACTAAGGGTCATCATCAGCAAACAGTAACCCTACAACTACTCAATATACAATAGCTTCCGTCATCTTCTAAATTACGTGTTTCCAAATTTTCATACCCTGAACAGGATAAATTAAGTTTGCCACGAAGCTTGTAATACACAGAAGGAAACGCCGGTGACCCTATAAAATATATACATAAATGATCAGCATGATGAGCTGAGTTGATTTAGCCATGCCCGTCTATCTGTCCTTTTCTCACTAAGAAGCTGCTCACGACCGATATCGGACCACTAAAGCATATATCTGCTATATAAACTGAACAATTGGAATCAAGTACTTGGTCTCAGAACTTGTATGGGAAACTTTTTTATTTGGCGTAATATCTTCACGAAATTTGGCATGATTTATTTTCTAAAGTAACAATATATTCTCCGCAGAAATTGTATAGATCGGATGACTATAGCATATAGCTGCCATACAAACTGAAAGATCGGATTAAAGTTATTGTAAGGAGCCTTTGTATTTGTGAAAGGTATTATAGCTTCGGTGCAACCGAAGTTAACGTTTTTCTTATTTGAAATAAAATAGTTCCGACCTGCTTTTTGTATATTAATATATAGATCACTTCCAATTTTTCCAATTCAAATACCCATAATGAGCTTAAAGCATACCGACAAAATTATCTGCAACAAAAAAAAAATTGGTAGCAAGTCTAAACCATTTTATAATATGTAGACTTTTTATTTATAAAACGTGACTCTTTGCAATGCTAATTTTATACAATTTAAATAAAAGCCTTGCCTACATCTGAAACGAAGGCATACTCAAGAATATGCCGACTGAAAGAGACGGACACAAAACAATTTTTACTCATTAAATGCAGAGAAAGGCTTCCAAACTAAAAAATATGAAACTTTCCGTGCTCGGCTAATGATAGACGCCAGCACATGCTTTGGCGGCAGCGGCAACAGTATGGTCTGAATATGAACGACAAAAAGCGTCGCAGCTGCAAAACAAACTTTCCAGCGCTTTTTGCTGCGAATTCCACGCTGACAACATTAACTTCCTTGCTTATTTTATTAGCTTTATTTTTATTTTCGTTTCTCTTTTCCATTGTTTTTGTTTATTTGTCATCGTTTTTAAGTTGGTTGAAAAGTAGAAAAGTGGAAAAGAAAATGTTTCTTTATTTCGTAATTAGCAGTGGAAAACAAAAATCAAATTGCAATTTTCGTCCAAAGTTTTCGTTTACAAATTTGTAGAGCTTAAAGCTTGTTTCCATTAAAAGGTTATTGCATTTAATTATTACTGAAATTGCTTATTTGTTGCGGATAGCCTCGAAGGTTACACCTAAACAACTTTTGCCAAGTTCTTTGTAACCAGAAAATCTACTTGAAAATTTATGGAAACTCAAAGCATTTGGAGTGCGCTACATCTCTCAAAAATTATTGTTATTAGTTATAGGTACCAAATGAAAAACGGTGAGAGCTGGAGTATTAGGACTCAAGGGAAAAATAATCAATATCCTTTAGGACAGAATTACCCTCGGGCTTGATAAAATTTTGTCCATCTCTCCGAAGCCTTAGTTTGGCACGAAAAATAATTACGTAAAATTCATTAGACCGTTAGTAGATTCCAAATACTGAGACTAAGGCGGAGACTAAGTGCTCAACCTGTGATGTAGTTTTGTTATATGTCTAGCATAAAATGGCTAGGTCGAGGCTATGAAGTTCTCTTGCTGTTTGTTAAAAGGTGTCTAGGCTTCATGTGAGCTTGATAGGAACTGGGTGCAAGGCGCTTTGACGGTACGTAAAAAAAGTTCTGCTTTCATAAAGAACTCTGTGTAGCATTCCCAGTGTGATGTTTACCTTAGAGATGAGCTATCGCAACTAACCTAACCTAATAAACCTAAAAGAATCGAAAAGTTGTGTAATGAAGGATTTATTTACGATAGTTTAGATTAGATTAGATTTGCAAATGAGGTATGCACTGCGACCTAGGGTCTATTGTGCCCTCTCCTCCATCACATGCATTCCCAAAGTCCCAGCACCCTGAAAAACTCCAGATACTTGCTGGGTGCTATTGTGATCCCTGGTCACAAAAATGGAACCGAGGGCCTTGAACCTGCGTCTACAAATTGCGGTGCAATCTAGGATTAGGTGTTCTGGTGTTTCCGGTCCCATGTCGCAGAATCGGCAGTTGCCACAAGAAGCTAAGCCCATGTTTGATAGGTGCTTCTTGAGCCTGCAGTGCCCAGTGTAGAGCGCGACAAGGAGACGGAGTTTGTCTCTGGGGAGGTTAATAATTGCTCTGAACCTGGCTAGGTTGAACCCTCCCAGTAGCAGTTTGGCCTGACGCATCCCTGCTGTCTGTTGCCAGTGACTGTCTCTGCTCGATCTCTCCTCCGTGCGGAGCAGTTCCTTTATTGTATGGGGCCCTACCGCAATGTATGGTTCTGGCCCCATCATTCTTGTAGTCGCAGCAGAGCGGGCAAGTTCGTCTGCCAGCTCGTTGCCGGCTACCCCTTTATGCCCCGGCACCCAGATCAGATGTATACGGTTGCAAGCTGCTAGGCGGTTAAGCCTTCCTATACACTCCTCCACTAATAGCGATCGTATCTCATAGGCCGATATCGCTTTTAGCGCCGCTTGGCTATCGCTGAGTATTGCGATACTCTTATTCCGATAGTTGCGTTCGAGATTTATTACTGCGCACTGACTTATGGCAAATACTTCTGCCTGAAAAATGCTTGGAAAACTGCCCATGGGAATGGAAAGCTTGGTGTGCGGTCCCGCAATGCCAGCGCCAATTCCTTCTGGTGTTTTCGAGCCGTCAGTGTACCACTGAATAGTGCTACCTCTCAGCAGTTGGTCAAGTGTGGAATCGCTCCAGTTCGCCTTACTGCCGAGAGTAACTTTAAACTTTTTCGTAAAGTTTACTCTCTTCGTTATACCGTCTCTTGGAAGGAGGGCCAGTGGCGTGTTATCTTCTAAGGCCCTCATTTGTTGAGACGAGATTAACTTCCCTTTACCATACCCCTCTGCTGTCATAAGCAGCATGGTATGCTTCGCAGTCTGATTGATAACCAAATGGAGTGGTGTGAGCTCTAGCATGACCTCAAGTGCTGCGGTGGGGCAGGTGCGCATTGCCCCAGTGGCGCAGACGCAGGCAAGTCTCTGCAGCTTCGATAGCTGAAGGCCTATCGAAGTCTGCTTTGCTTTCGATGCCCAAACCACCGCTCCATAAGTAACAATAGGTCTCACGATCATGGTGTACAGCCACCTGATGATACTAGGTTTGCAGCCCCAGGATCTGCCGGCGAGGCGCCTGCACACCATGAGCGCCTTTGTGGCCTTGGAAAGCGTTAGCTCCACGTGCCTATTCCACCGCAAGGTGGAGTCTAGTGTGAGGCCTAAGTATTTTACTTCCCTCGACACTTCTAGCTCTCTGCCCCCAAGGGATAGTATTCTAAGGCCCGGAAGAGATCTTCTTTTTGTGAAAGGGATGACGGTTGTTTTTAACGGGTTAATGTTTAGCCCTACCGTGTCGCACCATCCCTTTGCTAGGTTTAGGCCCCTTTGGACTATGTCGCAGAGAGTGTTCTCAAATTTCCCTCTTGCCACTATGACGATGTCGTCGGCGTACCCCTGGCACCGGATTCCATTGTTCGTTAGCAACTCAAGGAGTTCATCTACTACGAGGCTCCATAGAAGGGGTGACAATACCCCACCCTGGGGGCAGCCTCTCGTAGTACCAAGACGTATCTTGCTCTCCCCCACCGTAGTTTCTGCAATCCTAGTGTGCAGTACGGCCTTAATCCATCTGCATATAGGAGCTTCCACGTTCCTCTTCTCCAGTGCCCTGATCACGCTTGCGTGAGACGCATTATCAAAAGCACCTTCAATGTCTAGGAAAGCACATATCGCAACCTCATTATTCTCCAGCGATTTCTGGATCTCAGCCGTTAATTGGTACAGAGCAGTGTTAGTAGACCTACCTACCCTGTACGCGTGCTGATTTGCATGCAGAGGTGCGACTTTTAGTGCTTTCGATCTTATATGGTTGTCTATAATCTTTTCCATACCTTTTAGCATGAAGGAGGTGAGACTAATAGGCCTGAAGGATTTGGCTAGTGAATAGTCCTTCCTTCCTACCTTAGGTATGAAGATTACCCTAGCTATTCTCCACGTTGATGGGATGTACGACAACGCAAGGCTATCCCTCATCAGCCCAACAAGGAACGGCAATAGAGCTTGCCCTCCTTGCTGTAGAAGTGCTGGGAAGATGCCGTCGGCCCCTGGTGACTTGTATCTCGAGAAGGAAGCCAGTGCCCACTTGATTGAGTCTGCATTGAATAGATTCCTTGCAGCTGTCCAATCTGAGCGATTTGGCTTATGTGCGACCACTGGTGGAATTTGGTCGTCCCGAATAGTCTCCGGGAAGTGCTCAAGCAAGAGTGCCATGGCCCTCTCGTCTGCGTTGGTCGTATAGGTCCCATCGGATCTTTTAATGGCTAATGCTGTGTCAGTCTTACCTCTTGCCAGAGCCTTATGCAGTCTTGCAGCCTCTGGAGTAGAGGAGACATTTTCACAGAATTTTCTGAAACTACTCGTTTTTGCAGACCTAATTTCCTTATTGTAGGTTGTTAGGTGTTGCCTATATTCCTCCCAGTTGCCCGTTCTTTTGGCTTTGTTAAAAAGCCTGCGAACTGATTTTCTAATCACTGAGAGTTTACTTGTCCACCAAGGACAGCCTTGTCTTTTGGTGGTTGACTTTAATGGGCAAGCGCAATGGTACGCGTCTGTTATGAACTGGTTAGTCGCAGCCAGCCTGCTCTCTAGTCCTATCGGCGTAGCCTCGCTTTCTACCTGCCTCACTCTACTAATATTTAACTCTAGGGTCTCTCTGAAAACATCCCATTTTGTGTTTCTGGGAATACGGACTGGCAGGAGATCCTTGACCTCCACTTTCATTGCGAACCGTAAGATCCTGTGATCTGACATGGAGGGCTCTTTCGAAACTCTCCATTGTGAGATCAGCCCGGACATTAGCTCATTGCACAAAGTTATGTCGAGGACCTCCCTTCTGGTACTGGTAATGAAGGTGGGTTCGCACCCCACATTCTCAATGCTTAAGTTATTACTAATAATGAATTCAAGAAGAGACTCACCCCTTGCATGGTGCGCATTTGCATCGCACCCCAGTACGAGGGGGAGCTTATTTCTCCTGCAGTATTCCATTAGATGGTGAATTTCGTTGGGGGGTGCTGTGGTTGTCTCCCCTGGGAAATATGCCGCTGCAAGGACGAAGTCTGCACCTTCCTTGTCCTTCACCTGCACCGCGACCAGATCCTGCGTTAGGAACTCTGAAATACAGAAGACATCAATATCGTTCCTAACCACTACACAAGACCGGGGTCTCTTAGATGAGAGATCCCAGATTACCTTGCTTGCTTTTGTATTGAGGCCCCTGACCTCCCCTCTATACACCCACGGCTCCTGGATTAATAGGATACCCAGGTTATCCGAAAGGAACCTACTCGCGATAACAGCCGAGGCTGCTGTCGCGTGGTGTAGGTTCACCTGGGCAACTTCTATGTTGGTAGTGGCGGTCACAGGACTGGTTCCAGGAGGGACAGATCATCGTCATCGCTGTCCTTGTTGTTACCCTGCTGGTCCTGCTCCTTCAGCCCCTCTAGGAGCTCCTGTGTGGAGGGTAGCTCCCCTTCACACTCCTTAGCACATATGTTCGGTGCTCCTTCTGCGGCATCTGTAGCATCCTGCACCACCGTAGCAGTAGCAACCTGCCCGAGTGTGCCGGTACTGGACTGAGTGGGCGCCTCATCCACCACCATTGCTTCTTCCGCCGTTCCTTCCGCCGGTGTGGTTTTGGGCCTCCAAGGCCTCATTACCACACTGCTGAACCTAAAGTTCAGCCTGAATCCCTCCTTCCGGATGAATTTGTAGGACTCGTCATCTATGGTGATGTTGAGCCTCCATCCAGCGTCCTCAATGTTGCTGTCCACTACCCTCCAAGCCGATGTACCGAGCCCATCGTTTTGGTTTCGTATGAGACCAAGTGCAAACTCGTAGGGTTTACCTGCGCTCCTGGGAAGGAATACCGTCATGCAGTGCATAGGCGGTATGTCTTCACCCCTCTTCGCGCATAGGACCGGGCCTCTCCATCCGTTTAGCTTCGGAGCGATCTCCGCAAGCCAGGTGGTCGTCCTTTCGTCTTTACAGTCGACTAGCAGCATTCCTGACCTGAAGTACACACCATGGAATGAGCCGGTGTACCCACACCCATTGTAAACCTCATCCATGATGCTATCTTGCAGTGCTGTTAGTTCCTCTGGCCCCAAGACCTCCGCCGGATAATTGCGAGGCAGCACGGCCATCCGGATGCCTTTAAGGGCTTCCGAGTATTTGCGCTGACCGCCATCACCCGGGTTGGGATTTGGAGCAGGACGTTGTCCTCCGATCGCCGGTGGCTGATTCCCCTTTTGCCTTTTTGAACTTGGGGGTTCTTGAGGCGTTATCTGCCCGCTCTTCCTTTTCGCGGATTGTTCTGTGGCGTTCCGTGGTTCCGCCTTTCCGCACCCTTGTTTCCCAGGCTGGGTTGCGTTTCCTCGGCTGAACGTCTGGTTCCCGCGTCCCGCGACGGACGCGGCGTTTGCATGCTTCTTCGCAGCCGGAGATGGGTTGCTGCCCCTGCTCCTGCTTGTGGCGAGTCTAAATGCTTCTTCTGGGGATTTGCCATCCTGCAAGTGCCTGAGGTACCATTTTAGGGTGGCACCGCTCATGCCTCTCCTGCGTGGATCATCTGGGCCACCCGGGCATCCCGCTGCTGGTTCAGGGGGCATTCTCCCCCCCCGCTTCCTCTTCCTTTTGCGCACTTCTGCCCCATCCCGTTTGGATTCGTCCTCCTCCGAGCAGCTGAGCCTGCTTGAGGAGGTTGCTGCGGGTTCAGCCTTATCTGCACTCGTCGCAGTAGCCGCCTTTCGAGTACCGCTGCTAGAGGGCACGTCGTCATCATCACGTGCGTGCTCCTCAAACAGTGCGCGCTCTTCTGGCGAAAGAGCGTCCAGGAAGCTGAACTTGCGCCTAGCTCCTGGGCCACTCTTACCTGCAACGGTCGCTTTGCAGTTTGATGTTGTTGTCGTTGTCAATTTGGTGATTGCTGGTGTCGTCGTCGTTGTTGTTTCATTGTTTAGGGTTTTTTGTGTTGGTTTGTTGTTGTTGTCGCTCATTCTGTTTCGTACGACCCTTAGCTCAGCAGGGTGAGCATCCGGGTCTATTCTGTTAAAGGGGGAACGGAAATGTCCGCCGCGCCAGAGCCCCTTGACGCGGTAAGGCCACAGTTACTTCCCAAGGCGGCCCGGTGTTGGGAAGGCTCCGTTAAAATACAGCCGAATTTACCTCCTGGCTGCAAATCGTCCAATGGGCACGGGAGTCGCATAACACCCTGGATTAGGAGGTGGCAGCTCTTGGTTGTCGCACGCATGCGGCTTCTAGCAACCCGTGTGAGAGGTGCTGGTGCTAGACAACACTTCTCACCCCGGTTGGGAGATGCCGAGAATGCCTTGCGACCTAAGCCCCTGCACCACGGCAAGGTGCCTGCCATTCGCAGGAGTTTACGATAGTTAGAAAGATCTTATTTATATTAAATGTACACAGTTTGGTTCGATAACTTGTTGCCGTTGCGAAGATAATTTTATAATGCCACTCTCATAGAAATACTCGTCCAAATTTTTAAAAAACTGGGACGATCGTTTATTATGAGCTTCTGTTGAGACAAATTTTTGATCAGCCAATTCATTCGCCGTAGACGGGCGCAAATATTAATCACTCCATGCCAGGTCAGGAGTATAAAGTGGATCCATAGGAATCTCCCAACAAGGCTTCCGTAACTTCCGGTGTGTCATTATCGATGTGTGTGTGCTGGGGTTGTCCTGATGGAACCGCATTCCTATCATTTTTCATCATCAATCAAATGTCATCAAATATCAATATGCAAATCAGTGTTGCATACTGGATCCTGTTGTTAATTCCGATGTGTCAAATTCATAAGGAATTAATGAAATATGAATCGTCAAATTTTTGTTCGTCATATGAAAGACCCACGAAAAATTAATGTTGACTCTCATAACAGATAATTTCAAAAAAAAATGCTCGACAATTCAGATGACGGATCCCGACCGTGAATCTTCAAACTTTCTCGTCCTAGTAAGACTCTCTGCCGCTGGTTCGACCAAGCAACTAGTAAGGCATCTTGTTATTATATTGCTATGTTATTGTTGATAAAACCTTCACTTTCATTTCACTATAATTTCATTTTCATTATTCCAACAGTTAATGAAGAAAAATAACAAACTAATGAGCTCATCAGAGGAAGTAAGTACGTAAGGTAAAATTGTCTTTGACACACATCGCGTCTATGTTACTAGGAATAGGAAAAAAATAGTATTAACCATAAAATGGCAGGGCTGCACGAAACTCCGACATCAGTGAGACACACATACCGTACAACATCAACGCTTAACGGTAATTAAATCAATTGCCGCAAAAAAAACAACACAGAGTACAACAACAATAAAAGATGAATTTAATATTAGAAAATTCAAAAAAAAATAATTTGAGTATACAAATTATAATTAATGAGCAGCGCCAGCATCGACACCTGCAGCGAAAGATGTGCTACCGCGGCAATTAAATGCTTTCCAATCAAGGCGACAAATTAAATTTTCCGCACGAGAGCATTATGTAAAATGGAAAAAAGTAAAACGCACTACTACGAACACAAATGAGCGACGCAAGTGAGCTAGCGCACTGAGAAACGGCAGAGAATTTAATTATGACAACATTGATTAAAATTTAATGGGGAGCGAAAGCGCAAACGCGTGATCCAACTAAACAGAGGTGTTTTGAAACGACACAGCGCTCGTTAAGTGGGTCAGCAAGTTTCTAGCTGCTGGCAGAGATGTCTGACAGTGGCAACTTTCGCACGGCTGCTACTGTTACTACTGTCGCTGGATACGTCTTGTCGCTGCTACTGTAATTTATCTTGCATCTTTGATGGTCCAGCTTATTTCCTTCTTAAAAGCTGCCTCACGCAGCGATGGAATATTTGAGTTACTACAAGTATTTTAAAGACGCACACAAGCATATATAATATATCAGAGTTATTTTATTTAAGTGGTCACGTGGTATAATATAAAGGTACTTGTTGAACTGGAAAGTAAAAGTTTATTGAAGAAGTCTGTAAGTAGAGACAAAACATGCTTTGTACAAGATCGAGTTATGAGAATTGTATTATAAATAGTAAGCCGATATCTGTTGGTCTAGCCAAGGTCGACTACTTATACATTTTTAGTTGATATAACGGCAAAGACAAAACACAGTTTCCTGCCGAGCTGCCTAAATATAAATCCCGCTTCACTAAGGTAAATAATCGTGAATTATCTATCATGCACACATATAAAAACGCTTATTGTAAGCTATTTTTAAGAGAGTGGGAACACATTGTTAGTAATAATTAACATCAGAAAAGATATACTATCCACATTTCTATTACGTTATATTATGAACTACTACCCATTTAAACGTTCCTGGAGTGAGCTCTCCCTCGTCTTGGGTTAAGATCAATATGTTTAAATTTGATCCCTCTTGATGACTTTCACAAAATATTACTAACTGCTAACCAACGCCAAAACTTTTTTGTTTACAGCGGTCCTCCTTTCATATTTTAGCCATTAAAATTAGCGATAAAACTTTTAAAATATAAATTAAATAAAAAAATTTTTTTTTGATAAATATGGCATATTTTTGTAACACGATTAAATCTTAAATCACGTCTTACTAATGTTATTGATAAAGCTAATGTGCAGTCGCCTATCGGCACGTTTTGCAGCAAAGTCACCTTTTATTCCGGTTATAAATACGGTATATTTAATAATTTAGCTTAGCTATCACTTACCGGGATAAAACTGCATACTTTCACTTAATCCAATCAACATAATTAATTAAATCCAATTCTACTCACGTCTTCAATACAAAAGACCAAAGAAAAGATATACGAGTATATGTATATCATTGAATTCAAAAACATCTTTTATTTACCGTTTTGTTTGTTAATAAACTTTCTAAACTATCTAAACTTTCATTTATTCTTGCATTATGCTAATTTTTGCTAATCGAATGTGTATACTCTGGCAACATGTTGCTACAAACGGTTGTTTGTACCACCTAAAACTAATCGAGTTAGATATAGGGTTATATATTGTATATATAAATGATCAGGATGAAGAGACGAGTTGAAATTCGGGTGACTGCCTGTCTGTCCGTCCGTCTTTTCAAGATGTAACTGTAGTAAAAATTAGGATATCTTGATGAAACTTGGTACACATGTACCACACCCACAAAACTACATTAATCGAAAACATATAAAATGCCATACCTAAGCATTAAATTAATATATGTAACTGTAATTTAGTACAGAGGACTGCAGTAGCAAGTGGCACATGTGCGCACACAATTTTTTAAAAGTGGGTGTGGCCCCGCCCTCTAATAAGTTCAATGTACATATATCCAAAACAATTGAAATCAACCAAATTCCCTGAGATTAAATTTCTAAAAAATCCTAAAAAGTAAAAAGTGCCCTGAAGGTATTTCATCTTATGTTTAAAAATTGTCAAAATCGAACTATAACTTTTGAAGAACCTAGACACCAAATATATGGACTCCGGTGCATATAGCTGACTTTCTGCCGTAAATATCAGTCAATCTGTGAGATATATTGTGTAAAAATAAGCGGGGAAAATGTTTCTTTGATAATAATATACTTTTGTATCAAAGAGGGGTTGAATCGGGTCAATACTTCCCTTAGCCCCATATACCTTATATTACGATTTTCGAACTTTCTGTTGACTTTATATCACTAAAATGGCTAAAATTGAACGAAAACTTGCCTTAGACCCTATATAACTGATATTCACGATTTTGAAACATGCGGCTAACTTTACTCCATATAAATGTTTATATTTATATATTTATAAAATTGCTTGAAAATAATTTCTCAAGTATACCTTAGCAATGTCAAAAATTGATGAAATCCATTTCTTCCCTTCCATTTCTCTGTCCCCAATGATTTTAGTATAATTTTCGCTGACGGGAAGTAAAATATAGTAATATAACTAAGAGAGTCTATGACCTTCAAAATAAGTTAATATGATACCAAATTGGGTTGTAATCTATTTACTATTTCGTCGAACAATGAAGTTGAACCCTTTCGTAATTGCAAGGGTATAAAATGTTCGGTTACACCCGAACTTAGTGCTTTCTTACTTGTTGAAGTTGCTATTTTCCCAAAAGAATGTAAGGATTTTATATATTTATATTCGTTCCTAACCAAAAATAAAAAGTTTCGAAAAGGCTTCCAGAACTACTAACATTTATCGATTTTCGTTATATTTCGTCTAGCGCACTAAACGAGCTTCAAAAAGTAACCGTCAATCAATTGCTTAAAGTATTAATTTCCATAAGAAAGTTCGTATAAACGATAATATGGATATGGGATACATTAAAGTTAAAGCCCAGAATTTTCAATTATCGATGAATCTCCAACTTGTTTATCGAAATTTCCCGAATAATTCTGAAGTAAAAGTAAACTATATAGATGCCATAAACCCTTAGCGAATTTCATCATCACACTAAGAGGTTGCTTTTCCATATTTCTCAATTTTTATCTTATGATTGTCAGTTTTGTTTTGCTGCCGTTTGTATACTCATCAAGTCATCATTTTCTGTGTCCAAACCGATTTAATTACGCTCTTTGAATATATGTTCTTCTATTTACGAATCACTTACATTTTAGCACATAGTATGCTGAAGAATAAATTTTATTACTGTTTTTTATGTGAAAAATGAAAGTAGTAATCGGAAAGTGCGAGGTATACTTGTATACATATAAAAGTAGTAATCAGCACGACTGTTTATTTTTGAAAACAAAACTCTTTTAATTTAATGAGCATTCACTTTTAAAGCATGATGCTTCATCTGGCGAATATCTGAGGATAAAGAAAGTAAATGCTGCTTGAACTGCAGTAGTTTTTATGTCTGCATAGTACCTTAATTCACTCTCGATGAAAGGAATCATCTTGAAGTCACAGAAATATTGTAACGATTTTTACGAAAGGCGTCGGCATTAAAAACTTTAATTATTATAAATTAAATCTAGAAAGCTTCTGTCTCCTTTTCTCTCTTCTCTTGAGATATTCCTTAGATATATGACTGCGAAAATTTATATAAGACTCAGAGAATCTGGATAACTTTGAAGTCCTCACATGATTTGACTTCATTTTGGATTATCCTGCGACGTCGAGGCAAATTCTAGAGCTCTTTTCGGTAAAATCATACCTGCGAGGACGGTGTGAAGTCATCGAGCCGCTGGAGGAATGTCAGCTCTAATGCGGTTAAGTCAAAGTTGTGGTGAAGATTGGTGAAGCAGTTTGGCTAAATGAGTTAAGCTTCCCGCCCCGAAAAACACAACACACCACTCACAAGACAACACTGGCACACATCCCACACCTGGAAACATCAAAACACCTATACACCACACAACACATACAAATGCATTACACTATTGGAAGCAGCCGCATACACACACACAGTAGGATCTCTACACAACAAAACAGTACAAAAATATCTGTCCGTGAAGCGGACAACCTCTTTCTCTCAGCGATTGTCGTCGAAAAAACACCGGACTTGTCTTTGGCGCGTAACCGCATTTTCTTCATTTTTTTATATTCTTTTAATTACCTCTCCACTGGTATGCGACCAGGGAGTGATTGCGTGAAGATAATCTCGTCATAATTATTAATAAATAAACAGTTTGTAAACATTTCCAAACCGGAAAAATATACAATTTTTTAATTTACATACGCGGAATTATAAAGTGGCAAGTAAGTGGTGAACTTAACATTGGTCCTTCGAGCCATTCCGAATGGCACTATAGTGAAAAAAAAAAAGAAAAAAAAAAATTTAGTAAAAATAAGGGTGGAAAACCTTAAAAAATTGGTGGTGTTAACATTGGTGGTGATTGGTGGTGACAAACAACTAAATAAAAAATAAATATATATATGAAAAGTGCTTAAAAGTGATTTACATATGTATATATAAACGGAGAAGCCAACAACAAAGTGTACTGAAAAAAGGCAGAAGAAAAAAAAAAGTGCAGTGACCACAACAGCAAAAATATATATATATATATATATATGCTTTGGTGCAAAAAAAGTGCAGTGACCACAACAACAAAAAATTTATATATATACACATATGCTTTTGGTGCATAATATAACAGTGCAGTGACAAAAAAAACGGGCGCGGAAAACCAAAATACAATCAAATAAAAACGGGCGCGAGTTAAAACCCATATATATGTATATATACATATTAACATATCAAACGGGCGCGAAAGTAATTCAACAAAAACCAAGCAAAAACCCCAAGGAACAACCCAGGAAAGGATTGGATACACCTACAGGCATCCACATACAAGATACACATACAAGATACAGGCTATAGTCCCCAAAATCCCTTGACGGATATTCAAGTGAGTTGTATCGATTCCATTTTGTACCTCATTACTGCAGGGTATATGTATATTTATTACGGTTTACAAAAACGGTTGCCAAACTGTTGAATTTGCGGTATTTCGGGTTTTACCGAAAAAATTCCATACATATAATATACATATATATATTCTATATATATATATATAATATTTATATATATATATAAATAAATATATACACATTTATATATAAATATATACATATTTATTGCCTAGAAAAGCTTACCTTCGTGTATTTAACACAAAATATACCAAATCCCAAACACTATATATGATATATACATATATATGAAATTCAAGTACTCCACTTGCAAAAATATCCGGCAATACCCCTTATGCTTGATCAAGTAATAAGCAGGATTGCCTAAAACAAGTAAGCAAAGGCAAATAAAAAACACAAAAAAAAACACATATACATATACCCACATAGCAACATATAACGAATAAAAAGAGATATAAGAACAATATTCTCAAAAAAAAAAAAAAAAATTAAAGAATTTCTTACCTGTATGCCACATCTCTAATTACATACATATTTACATATTTTGCACAATATATACCAAAATTTTTAGCACTTATAATTTTGAGCGCTTGCAAATATGTACATATTCGTAATATTATTAACATATTATATTTAACTACAAGAAAGAGAAGAGAGAGAAAGGCAAAGAAAATAAAAAATTAAATTTTTAAACATATAAAATATACGTACATTATTTTACTCTTTTACATACGTACATATTTACATTCATATACCGAGAGTGCATATTTACGAATCGTAGTGCACATAGGATAACTTTGTTGCTAATTACGTTTATGCGCTCTTTCGTAACGGAGAAACAACGTCCGCTCGTTTACATATATACTCATACAAGTACGGGACATATTATTATACCCTACTAGGGTACCACTAAAAGTTAAAGAACTTAAAACAGCGCATTCGAAAAAAAAAAAAACATTTTAAACGGTTCGGTAAAGAAAAAACGAATTCTTAAAAAAAAAAAAAAATTTATTATTTATAATTCTATAAATAAATAAATAACAATAATAAAAAATTGTGAACAATATTATATACATTGCTTCTATACAATTTAATTTATTATATTCCAAAGTCCAATTTGGCACATACTCGGCAATACCCCTTGTTGTTTAGCAAACAAAAACAAGCAGGATTGCGTACAAATACAATTCTATAATATTATTCATATTCAAAGTCCATATAGGCACAAATCCGGCAATACCCCTTGTTTCTTGGCAACCAAAAAACAAGTAGGATTGCATACATATGTATAAAGTACATTGATCTCTTATACGAGCTCTCATTGACACATACTAATTCGCTTATAGGTATACCCTATAACGCATACGAACACAAAAAAGATATAACAAAATAGATATTGCAATTTTTGAATAATTATTGAAATAAACAATACAATCGAGAAAAATAATAAATAAATACCGTAACAACAAAACACGCTATCTTATTTAATCCGATTTACAAAAAAAAATATATAAACCGATTTACTGATTCTCTTATTTATATAAAAGAGATTACGCGTTACAATTACGAATTTCGCTTAAATTTAATCAGTTTACACTGAGAGAAATCATTTTATTAATTGAACTTTTTTTAAATGAACGCAGATTCTAAAGATTCTAAATCTACACAACTACTAAAAGTACCAAAAATGATTTCGGACGAAAAAAGTCCATGTACACCTGCAGAAGCTACACGCTCAAAGCAAGGTGCTACAAAACAAAAAAGGGGGAAAGACATTACATATAGTAAATTCATTGCTGAGAGTGACAGTTTAATAAGATACTGCACTCGATTTTCATCTTCTCCGATTCAAGATAATTCTGAATCGGCATTAGAAATCAAAAAGGAAAATCTCGACAATTTTTGGATACGTCTCCAAGCTTCATATGACGCCATAGTAGAATCTGACGACTCAGATCTACCAGAAAATTTTAAGTCCTCGGCTTACGCCAAATATGAAAACTGCTTAGACCAGTTCGAAGAAACTAAAGCAATGATTTCCGATCAGCTAAAGCTAATAAAAGCAATTGCACCTACTCCACATCAGCGAGTAGAGCTGCCACAAGTACAAAGTCAAGAGGCAAGTTCAGGCATCCATCTCAAGGTGCCCGCATGTGACACAGAAATATTTCATGGTGGTTATGAACAATGGCCGTCCTTCCGAGACATGTTTACTGCCGTTTACATAAACCATCCAAAATTAACAAACGCACAAAAATTGTATCACCTCCGATACAAAACAAAAGGTCAAGCAGGCGTAATAGTAAAACAGTTCGCACTAAATGACGATAATTTCAATCTGGCTTGGGAAGCTCTAAAAGCGAGATACGAGAATGAAAGAATATTGGTCGATAAACAAATATCGATATTAATGAACTTGCCAAAAATTCAAAGGGAAACTAGTGAAGAATTTATCAAACTTCAATCCACTGTTTCAAATTGTTTGTCGGTTTTATCGACACAAAATATTCCCACAGACAGCTGGGATCCAATACTGGTAAACATATGCACTGCCGCATTACCAGAAAAATCATTACTTCTATGGGAACAATCGCTCTCATCACGAAGAAAATGCCCCACGTGGCAACAAATGAAAGATTTCCTAACTACCCAATATGAAATCGCAGAAAGGGTAGATAAAAAATGGTCAGAACGAAACCGTTCAACATGACCTAAATAGAAGCTTCCACAGACCCCAAGCCAGTACCAACAACAATGTAATAAGAAGCTTTTCAAAATCAAACGTTCACATCCGAACAGTACAAACAAACGTCATGCGAACTATGTACAGGGGGGCATAAGCTCAAATCTTGCGAGAGATTCAAAAAATTGAATATTATCGACCGGAACAATTTTGTAAAAACAAAGAGACTTTGTACAAACTGCTTGTCACATGCGCATACACTTAAAGAGTGCGAAAGCAAATTTAATTGCGTTTATTGCCATAAACGACATCATTCTATGCTGCATTATACAAATTTCCAGCTCACCCCAAACAGCGCAAATATGAAAAGAGCCACGGGTTTAGTTGCAACAGCAAATCCCGAAGTGCGAAATCCCGATAATTGCCAAGAAGCACCATGCTGCTCAAAGGCATTAAAAACTCAAACGCTACACAGCGAAAACCAAAGTAGGGTACTACTACCAACAGCAGTCGTCTCCATCGAACACCGAGGAGAACTGTTTAAACTTAGGGCCTTAATAGACCAAGGATCACAACGATCTTCATAGCTCTAGGGCACAAAATAGGCTACAACTGCCAACAAAACAAGCCAACTTTGAAATTACAGGAATGGGCGGAAGAGTAGTTCAAAACTCTAATAAAATCTGCTCCATTACCTTAATTTCCCCCCAAGCGGATAAGCACATACAAGCAGAAGCTATAGTCTTACCGCAACTTACAAATATGTCCAAGCTATCACATAAATAGCAAGCATTGGCAAAGGTTTCACACCTAAAGCTAGCAGATCCCAACTGCAACACTCCCGCTCAAATAGACCTTCTATTAGGCAGCGATCTCATACCACAGATAATACTCGAAGGTATTGAGAAAATTTCAAATACACTTCTGGCACAAAATACTATTTTTGGGTGGATCCTAAGTGGACTAGTTTCGGAACCAGTTACCACCATGACCACTCAGGTTGAGGAAATCTCAAACGAATACCTCAATTCACAATTGAAAAAATTTTGGGAGTTAGAAGAACTCCCCCCCATATCAATCACAACCCCTGAAGATCAGTATTGTGAAGACTTTTACAAAGCCACAACTACTAGATCAGATAATGGTCGGTATGTCGTACGACTGCCACTAAAACAACAATTTCCTAGCACAATCGCCTTAGGTCACTCTCGCACCTCTGCTATACAGCAGTTTTTAAGTATGGAAAAAAACTTACTTAAAAAAGGTGAGCTTAAGCCAGAATACGATGGCGTGTTGGAAGAATACCTCCATTTAAACCACATGGAGGAAGTAAGCCCATGCGAAAAAATCATCAACGGCAAATACTACTCATTTTACTTGCCGCATCATGCAGTGATAAAGCCAGACAAAAAAACAACTAAAGTAAGAGTTGTCTTTAATGCATCAAGATCCACCAGCTCCGGGAATTCCCTAAATGATATCCTATTTACGGGACCCACGCTCCAACCAGATTTAATGCTACTCATTTTAAATTGGCGTATATTCAAATACGTATTTAACGGAGACGTCGAAAAAATGTATAGACAAATAGTCGTACATAAAGACGATCAAGATTTTCAGCGAATTATTTTCCGAAAATCTCCCAATAGTCCACTACGCGACTATAAACTTAAAACAGTTACCTTTGGCGTCAACTGTGCTCCATATTTAGCCATTCGAACACTCCACGAACTGGCAGAAAACACAAAGTCAGAATTTCCTCTGGCAACCAAAGTGTTAAAAACACAAACATATGTAGACGATATCTTGTCTGGAAGTCACAGTCTTCCACAAGCATACGAGTCACTCTCACAAGTGGTAAAAGCCCTCAAAACCGCAGGGTTTCCGTTGAAAAAGATAACGGCGAATCACCCTAATATATTAAAAAATATACCGCATGAAAATTTGTTAGATACTAATTTCCTTAAATTCGAAAAGGAAAGTACAACAAAAACTCTGGGGATCCAATGGAATGCGATATCTGACCAGTTTTCATACACGACAGAGTCAATATCTGCATTATCCGCCATAACAAAGCGACAAATTCTATCCTCTGTGGCAAAACTTTTCGACCCCGCAGGATGGCTTTCGCCAATTATGATACAAGCCAAAATCCTAATACAAGAATTATGGTTAGATGGAACCGACTGGGACGAACAAGTAAAACCACTTCGTTTAGAAAAGTGGTCCCAGTTTGCGAGCAATCTAAATGATATCTCACAGATACAAATCCCACGATGGGTAAATTATGCCCCAGAGCACAAAGTCGAACTACACGGCTTCTGTGACGCTTCTGAAAAGGCATATTGCGCAACTATATATGTTCGCACACAAAGCGACACTGCGACCACATGCCACTTACTAGTAGCAAAAGCAAAAGTGGCTCCTTTAAAAACAATAAGTCTACCACGACTTGAATTATGTGGAGCGCTATTACTAGCCAAACTAGTGTCCATCGTACAAACGCATTTAAACATGGCACAATATAAATTATATCTATGGTCCGATTCCGAAATCGTATTAGCATGGTTAGAAAAACCACCACATGCATGGAAGACGTATATTTCGAACCGAACGTCTCAAATACTTGACCTAGTAGGATCAGCCACTTGGCGACATGTAGCCAGTGCTGACAATCCTGCTGATCTAGGGACAAGAGGGTGCAAACCCCTGCACCTTGTCACCACCACCCTCTGGTGGAATGGCCCCCGATGGTTAACAGAATCTCCTGATTCTTGGCCACAATCGCCCATGCGCAATATAATAGCCCCAGAAAGTCGAAAAATCGACTCCTTTCACGCAACATCGCAGGATAATGACATCCTTGAGCGATTTTCCTCGTATCCCCGAGCCCTCAGGGTAATCGCTTACATGCTCAAGTTCATAGAGCGACTCAAAATTAAACTTAAGGGAGTAACTTCATTACACTCCCAATGCGATACAGTGACGCACCTAGACTTACAAAAAGCAAAGGTCGCTCTTATCGCATCTACGCAAGCGCGTTATTTCAGCCGAGAAATATTATTACTAAGAGAATCGAAGCCGATAGATAAAAAGAGCTCACTCTTAGTCTTAAATCCATTCATTGACACGAAAGGAGTACTCCGTGCGAATGGTCGGCTTGCCAATTCCAGCCTGACGTATAACGAACGTCATCCCATAGTTATCCCAGAGAAATCGCAACTTGCCACCTTATACCTTAACTATGTCCACGTGCTTTTGCTACACGCAGAACATCGCCTCATGCAACAAATAGTCCGTCAAGAGTTTTATATTCCAAGACTCAAGCCCAAAATAAAGAAATGCATTTTCATGTGCAAGATCTGCACTATGCATAAGCAGAAGATGCGAACGCAGATTATGGCAGCACTTCCACCGGAACGCTGTAACTTCGCTCTGCCTTTCACCATTACAGGTGTCGACTTTGCTGGGCCTTTTCAGATAAAGGCATCCATGTTAAGGTCTCCCACCCTCATGAAAGGCTATGTGGCTGTCTTTGTCTGTTTTACGACAAAAGCAGTACACCTCGAGCTATGTACGAATCTGACAAAGGAGGCTTTTCTCGCGGCATTTGCTCGCTTCGTCGGACGACGCGGTTTTCCGTCAAAACTCATGAGCGACAATGGCAAGACATTTATAGGAGCTCAAAGAGCCACAGCAAAACAGTTCGTGGACTTTGTTAGGCAAGTCTCACCTGAAATTGTACAAAAATACGCTCACCAAGGTATTAACTGGCAGTTTATCCCTCCAAGCGCTCCTCATATGGGTGGTTTATGGGAATCAGCTGTAAAAAGCTTCAAATCCCACTTTAAAAAAGTAGCTGGAAACTACAAATTTAATTATGAAGAATTTACAACATTTATTAATTCGCATTGAAGCCGTTCTCAATTCACGGCCACTAACGGCACTCTCGCAAGATCCCTCAGATCTCACAGCCCTAACTCCAGGGCACTTTCTAAAAGGAGCACCCATTCTGGCCATACCTGAGCCAGGCGTGGAGTCGCTATCCTTACAAAATAGATGGGAAAGAATTAAAATTCTCCATCATGATTTCAGCCGCCGATGGAAGGAGGAGTATATAAAGGACCTTCATAAAAGGTACCGCTGGAAAACTCCCGAAAAGGCGCCAAAGCTTGGAGATTTTGTCTTAATCCATGACGATTGTCTTCCCCCTACAGAATGGCGACTTGGTTGCATAGAGAAGCTGCATCATGGTTCCGACGGTCATATACGAGTAGTTGACCTCCGTACTCGAAACGGAACGCTAACCAGACCGCTCGTTAAACTATGCTTCCTGCCAATCTCAAATAATAGCGAAAACGCATGTAGTAAACCATCCGTTCAATAATACCTACAAAAAAAAAAAATCGAAATATCCGTCTAAATAAAAAACCGCAAATATATATGACAAAATTACCATCATATACTAATAAAATAATGGGTAGACTAGTACGATCACCAAACCAAATAAAGTTGGTCACATATAGAAATATATCCATACTCTATACCACTGAATCGTATCTAAACACGCCTTTTTCTCCATACAGATAGATATGGATACAGAGATGCATTCCACCCCAACGCCAACAATGCGATCGGCCATCACGGTGCCTCGCCTTGGGATTATGCCAACCGCGGCGCCCCGAACACCAGCCGCAACTGCACCGTCAACCACCGCTCGTACTAGTATTCGAGCCTCCGCAGCCGTTCCGTCTCCACCAGAGGCGCCCCATCGCATCCGATGCCCCCTTTGTTGCCGTTCACACAAGTTGCAGCACTGTGGGCTCTTCAAGGGCATGTCGCCGACACAACGCCAGCAGGTTGCCCAGGCGCATGGGCATTGCAACAATTGTCTGGCGCATACACACACGACGCAGGAATGCGACTCCGGTGCTTTGTGCCAAATGTGTGGCAGGCAGCATCACACGTTGCTTCACCGTACTCCGAGGCGAGAGGTCAATCGGCAGCCTGCCCCACGAATCCGCGGTGCAAACCGACCGCAGCAAACCAATCGTGTGGCACGTCGCCGAAGAACGGCACCCCGATCGGAGTCCCGTCCATGGCGTCAGCACAACGTACCACCGACTAGGCGTAGGCCGCACTATCGTCGCACGTCCGGACTCAGCAACGTTGTGGCAACGTTGCAACAGCTACAGCGACTGCTAGGCTGAACATTCGCCTAGGGGGGCCGGGATGGCTAAATGAGTTAAGCTTCCCGCCCCGAAAAACACAACACACCACTCACAAGACAACACTGGCACACATCCCACACCTGGAAACATCAAAACACCTATACACCACACAACACATACAAATGCATTACACTATTGGAAGCAGCCGCATACACACACACAGTAGGATCTCTACACAACAAAACAGTACAAAAATATCTGTCCGTGAAGCGGACAACCTCTTTCTCTCAGCGATTGTCGTCGAAAAAAACACCGGACTTGTCTTTGGCGCGTAACCGCATTTTCTTCATTTTTTTATATTCTTTTAATTACCTCTCCACTGGTATGCGACCAGGGAGTGATTGCGTGAAGATAATCTCGTCATAATTATTAATAAATAAACAGTTTGTAAACATTTCCAAACCGGAAAAATATACAATTTTTTAATTTACATACGCGGAATTATAAAGTGGCAAGTAAGTGGTGAACTTAACACAGTTAATTGTCGGGAATTGTCCAATACTTTTTGGCTTTCAAGTCACTGTAATGCCTATCAAACAGAGATCGCTCCCATTGAGGTGTGAGCAGATATATTTCTCTGGACCACTCTATCTTTCATTAGAGAAACCAATAGCAAGGCGTCTAAATTATTTAAGGAATACGTATATAGAAAAAGTTTCTATATAATAGAATTATTTCATGATATGGCTAGTATTGGTGGTAATTGTAGAACTAATGCGTTTGCTAGGAATGGCACTCGCTATTAGCTGAATGGGAAGAGATCGGAGCTCCGCTTGCAGTTTACTATTAGATGGCTAGGCCTCACATAAGCTCGATGAGCGCTGGTTAAACGATATTCAGTTAACAAAATTGCCATGTCAATCTTTTCTTCTTAAATGTAATGACAAGAGCAAGGATGAAAAATGTTTGATTTCACAACTTCAGCCATTTCAGAGAACTATATAAATAGAAGAAAAGTTATCTTGATAACGAGATGGGAACGAGCAAGTTCTTGCCAAAATCAAAAATTGATGAGTTATTGATAAGCCGAATCTGAAATCCGACAAGGGTTTGAATCTAAAATTCACAATACTGGAAAGCAAGGTACTGATTTCTGACCTTAATCTCATTAACTGTAAAAAAAATGAGACATTAATAGGAAAATCGTTGACTATTGTGCTATCAGCGACTAGCCAACGTCAAACAGTCAATTTGGACTTACAATCTTTTATCAAATATTTTACAGGTTTAGATATTAAAGGCGAACAGCAGTTAATGCTCTCGTTAAAGAGAGCCAAAAACATCTACGAAAGTTGGATTAACAGGAAAAGGTACTATGCAGCCAACTGAGGCTATCACAATATTAAAGTTATATTCAGTTAATTGTGGAAAGGATCCATTTGTAAGTCTCCACCTTAAATTCTCAAAAAGAAACGGTCATATGGATCACCCTGCACTGCCATTAAAATAATTTATTCTGTACCAAAGCGTTTGTTTTCTATTATTATTCAATTAAGCTTTCGCAAACTAATTTATAGTTTCAACAAAACATATTTCACTATACCATTAAATCAACAACAACAATACATCTGCATACGTATGTATGTATACTATATATTTTATTGCGTGCTCTCCGCCGTCAAATGTCGCACGATATGTCAAATGTTGAAATTTCAAAAACTTTTTCTCATGCAATTTTCGAATGAAAATTTATTATGAAATACTTAGGGAGGCACACACATACATACACACAAGCGGGCTCCGACGGAGTAGCATTGCACATGCTGCAACTTCGGTGTCACTCGCCACTTAATTGGGGACATTCGCATGCCATGCAGCGTCAGAGGGCGATGTGCGCCGAAAAACGGGACATCGGCATAAAGGAAGAGAACACCAAGGAAGGTGCTAATTAATTTAATATCGTGCAACACGACAGCGAATACAAATGTGATTGCGAAATTGGAGGCCGACAAAGCCGAAAGTTTGCACCAGCATACATACGAGTGGGTCCCAGGTCCACCATATATAGGCGTATATGTGTATGTTTTCAGCAGTATGTATGGCATGCACGTGACGCAAAACAAATGAAATCAAAACAAATAGTCGAAGTGGTAAATACACCCGTGAATTGGCAAACAATGCAATGACCCGTTCGAAACACACGAGTGCTGTGGCACGGCGTGAGTTGCCGCTTGTGCAGAACTTTTCGAAGAAGTGTGCAGTATATATTGCATTAAATAATTTTCAGCAGATGAAGGCAAAGTGGCAAACTTGCATTGAAATGCGACGCCTGTGCCACAAATGAGCGCGTTCGTGTTGCAAGTGCAGAAAGAAAGAAACGAACACTTAGTGGCAAGTAAACTAAAAATATTAAAGGAACTTTACTCGAAGGCATGAAGTGAGTGTTTTCTGGGTTGGAGATCGTGTACGGCGATAAGTCAAAGTGTGCAGCAAGAGCAAAGGGTGTTCGAATAAGGGCAAAACATTGTAATGTGAAAAGAGAGTTGGGATCACACTTGGACAACTAAAGACGGTATTTTGTGAAGTCAGAAAAATTTCTAAAGGTAGATCTTAGATATATCATAAACTGTGATAGTTAATTCTAGACAGCAGACTCCTACAAGACTCAGCTCCTAAGGTATATTTCTTAGTCGCTCGTAGACAAAAAATTAAGGGAGAGTGGATCATCTGCCTTCTAAGTGTAGAGTTTGCGTAATTGCCACCTGGGAATATTTTCCAGTACTTCCAAACTTTACGCCAATTTGAACCCAAATCTCCACCCGACTACATACTTCTAGGTGATATGTTTCCTTACCACTTTTTCAGTTTTTTTTATTGATCTTGTCAAGAGAAAGCTCATCCACGTTACTGCCAGCGAAATTGAGTATTTACTCCAAGTATACGTATTAAGTCTCTGCTGCTACAATGACAACGGATTATCGATTTGCTGATTATTTTGCAAAAATCAGTAAAAACAGAATGGGCAGCAAGTTTAGGAGGTCGTTAACCAGGTTGTGTCACTTAAATAATTAAATCCATTTGTTGTATAGCTTCCATGGGCTGTTAAAATCGATACATTATATTATATATTAAAGAGGACATTTCTTAAACTAAATATTAGATATTGCCCTCCTTCATCATAAATAATTACATCTAAGGCTTCAGAGCTGTTTTCTGAACTACACGCTTAGAAAAGGAACCCACAGAGCTTATTTCTTCAAAGAAGCATTGCTGCAAGTTTTCGGAATAAAGCCGGAAAACATAGGAACTCGATATTTCATTGACTTAAAGAATTGTAAAAAATTCGAACAACTATCCCACAAAGTGACACCGCCTTAGATGTAAAGTAAGATTACTCGAAAAGCCTGTTGGATATTTTTCTTTGCATAGACCAGACGCTCTTCTGTCAACAGTTTCACAACTTTAACTATTTCAGTTTACCACTGTATGACTGGGCTTCATGGGAACGTTATGAGCAACTACACAACTATCAGCACTTTTGCAGTGAGCTCCTTGTCTTTCACCTTTCCCAAGTTCTACCTTGCCATTTGCGAGGTCAAGATTAAGATATCCTGCCTCTCACATCTTCAGCTACTCACGAATCATAGAGAAACATTTGCAACAACACCTAGCTCAACCTACTTTCGACTACCCAGTTGAGAGTTCAAGACCTTTCGATATCATTTTTATGGACTTTGATACGAAAATCATTTTTATTCATACAACACCCTGTTCAGTTCACAGTAACTAAAATATTGCACCCATGAGTAATGTGAGTCTTCATTTCCAGAATATCCCACTAAAAATACGGGCGCACAAACTCGTCGGGGTGCCGCTGTTGGCTGAACATTGAAATGTGAAGCCATTGCGGTTGCCGTGGCATCGTTGCATGTTAAATGCAGCATGCAGAGTTATATGCGCTCAATAAGGAAAGGTAACACGCTGATTATTTGCACAGCAAACCGATGAATATGGCGCGTGGGTGGAGAGCGCGGGCGTTGCCGCGTGGCTAAAGTGCAGAAATTGCTTGTGGCACTTCAATTTATAGCAGACGCGCGGCGATTGCATGAACGGTGTTACATGTGCCGCTGATGATGATAATGATGCGGTTGCTAGCGGGCGCCGATGAAAAGAATGCGAAGAGCAGAGTGGTGTGAAGAGATTGTACAAAGTGTGTGGGCGTGGCAGCGTGCCAAATTGAAAGGCAGGACAAGTGACTTTGCCAACAAACTGAAATGATTTCTTTTACGGCGCGCAACACGAAGAGTGTCAGCCAGAGAAAAAGAGAAGGGAGAAGAGAGCGGGTGTGAGTTGAAAACACTTAGTCACACGTACACAAAAGTTGATTTCAAGTGAAATTAGTGGCAGACGCTAACGATGTTAAAATCAGCATTGTGCCGTTGGTGGCAAGCGCTGGCGTAAAGCGGTATAAATGGGGTGAGCGGTTATATTAGAGCTGCCACAGCACGTACGTAGTGGCGCGCACACATGCCATGCCGCCAAAGGTGTATGCATATGTATGTATATGTTAGTCGCTTGCGGCCACAATGATTTCATTTTATTTTCTTTCCTTTACACAATTACGTTCAGCCGCAGCATGGCATTGTGGCAAGCGAAAAAGTAATAAAAATGCGAAATTAAAATAAAATAAAACGAAAGACGCCACTTGCTGCACAAGTATTTATATGTATGTGAGTGTGTGTTAAAGTATGCGCTACACGTAGCAGCGTGGCTGGCAGCAAGTTAGCGCATCAGGTGCGTCCAGCTGTGGCAACTGCAGTGAAATTCTTATGTCGGTCGCGTAACTGCAAAATACACGAGTTGTTGCCACAAAATGCAGCAGCGCTGTGTTTGAGGGAACAGAGCATGGCAGCTTTGAGGCAAGTGTGTGAAGGTAAGCGCCAGTTAGAAAAAGTATGTGCTGCGCTAGGCTCCGAGGGCAGCTAGCATTGATACAAATGCGCGCTTTCCGGGGAGTCAGCGAACCTTCGACTGTCCAACGAATCTCGTCTGCGCACTAATATATAGTTTAGTTATCCTTCTATGCCCTTAGGCGCTAGAGTTTCCCATGTCTTTGCCTCGTTTAGTATGATTATGTTGACGGGCAGGGCCACTGTACATGCTTCAGTCTACCGTATATTCTGGTCGGCCTGCGGCTGCTCTGCGCATTTCAACACGTTCGCTCAATTCCAAGTACATTTTTCTAAAAACTTTATCACCGCAATTGTGTCGCTTGTCTCCTTCATCTATTTGCCATTTCTTTTATTCCGCTACTTCGCTGTTTTTCGCTTCTACCGCCTTCAGCGCCACTTTTTCGTCGCCCTAAGTAGGTGCATACATTGTGGTTAGGTGAATATTTATGTTTTTACATGCGGAAATCTCTGCATTCTTTTGGGGTAATTTCATGGCGAAGTGAGCTAGTAATT